CGCCCTTTGCTCTATAGGAAGGTCAATTGGTCGCGCGGTTCGTTGGTCTAAGAGAAAGAATATTAGCTTTGAAAGGAAGATTGTCAAAAAGGATGACGTACGGTGGACCTTAAAGTCATTTTTGATCTTCTCCAAGTACTCGGCCTGCTTTTGGAGGTGGGAATTCTGTAGATTGGGGTGCGGCACTTGGCCCATCTGCGGGGGTCGATTGTTCATGAAGTTGCCTGGCATCGCCTGTGGCATTCCGTTCTGCTGTGGCTGCTGCAAGAAGTTCGGGTGTTGCCCGCCTGCCGCCGCAGTTGTGTTCAGATGAGAGGAAGTGCCATTCTGGAACGGAGGTCCCGCTACGCCCTGCGCGCCGTGTTGCTCTGGCGGCCGCATCCCTGCATTCTGGAACTGCCCACGGAACATGCCCTGCTCCATGACCGTCCTCTGTAGGTGCGCACGGTTCGTCTCGACGAACTGGATGATTTTTTCCTGGACACCCTGCCGGCGCAGTTCTTCGACGGACTGGTTGGCGTACCCGATGACCATTTGCATCTGGTGCCCATTCAGCACCCCCCGCTGGGGCTGCACCTGGCCACCGTTGACGTTCGCTGCAGCCGCGGCTTGCGCATGTTGATGTTGTTGTGCCGCCTGTGCTGCTTGCATCTTCCGCTTCGAGTCGATCACGGAGTTGATGTAGACTTGGTCAAAGTTCGAGAGGTAGTCGCGGTATACCTGAGCAAGGCGCTGGGCGAGGCCTGGGCCAGCCTTTGCTGGCTCGGTGTCGGTGCCGGGGAACTGGACGAAACCCATTCTCCCACCGATGACGCCCCATAAGTCTTGTGCGGTGACCTGAAACAAAGTTAGTGTCTTGTCCACTATGCGAATGAGTAGTTTGTACCTTTGCCTGCCCTCCCTCTTGCATTACATGGGTATGCAGCATGTAGAGGTCGATGTCGCGGCCTTCGAAGCTCATCATGCGAGGATCATGCTTCACCGCCTTGGTCGCGCAGTAACTCTTGTATGCATTGTCGAACCTACTCTTCTCTAACGGAGGTGGAAGCTGCATAGTTCCTGAGGGGGATGACTGCATGCTGATGGCGCTTGCAGCCGGGGATGACGCGTTGCCGGAATTCATGGGGAAGGGGAATTGGGGATTCATGTTCGGCGAGAGCTGGTTTGCGAAGGATGGTCCTGTGCCTGGCGCAAGCTGGCCGGATGGGTGCGACTGGTGCAACCGCTGTACCGACGGTGGGCGTGGAACGGCCGATGGCCCTGGCGGCGCAAGACGGTTCACTACTTGTCCCTGTGGGCGGTTCAGAGGGCTGGCATGGCCTTGAGGGATATTGTTCGGGCCAACCTGGGAGCCGTTCTGCAGCTGGCTGTGCGGCATCTGGGGGGTCGAGTTGAAGTTCCAGGCAGCCTGTGGTGTCCCATTCGCCTGCTGCTGTTGCGCTTGAGCCTGCGCCATGGCAGTGCTGGCCGGGCGTAAGGATGTCAACATGGGTAAAGAATGTATTAGGAGTAGAATCGACGCACTAGTTGCTCATGGCATTCAGCAACTTCCCCAAGTACTCCTTTTTGGCCTTAATCTCCTCAGACAACGTACGCATGCGGGTGAGCAGTGCTGCATCGGGCGTAATGCCGCGCTGATTGCCCAACTGCTGCAACATGCGCTCTTGGGTTGAGATGGCAGAGCGGGCCTGCGCCATACGCTCGTTAAGCTCGGCGACAGAAAATCGGCGCTGCGCTTGCGGCTGCTGTTGGTTGTTGGGACCGCCCGGAATGATGTTTGGGACTTGGCCATTCGCATTCGGATGGCCGGGCGAGGGGCGGCGATCGACACCCTGGGCGAAGAGCTCTCCTGGTGAAGTCTGCCCCATGCCCTGCTGCATCTGCTGCGCTTGCTGAACGCGCTGGTGCTCGAGCCGCTGCGTCATGTTGATGGGGCCTGGCTGGTTCTGGGCAAGCAACATTTCTAATTGTCTAGCATGGCCAGCTTGGTTCGCAGTTGCCTGGAAGGCCTGAAGCATGGCATTACGGGAGGCCGCGGACTGCCCCTGCATGCCGGGATTCGGAACTCCTGAAGGGAAACCAGCTGTCTGCGCCTGGTTGGCGCCCCCGTCGAACATGGGCTGGTTCTGGGCATGCTGTGCACCGTTGTTAGGTATATTTCCCATCTGCTGCCCGTTGAGGGCGAACTGCTGTTGCAAATTCTGTTGCTGCTGCTGCTGCATGCGTTGGGCGAACTGCTGGTTCCTCAGCATGTCCATCGAAATCTGGAAGAAGAACAATGATGGGTTAGCGGGGGATCGCAGGCTTTACGTAACATGGTCGGAGCGCAGGTGGGGGGTCACGATTAGATAGAGGCTGTAGGGCGCCTAGAGAACTGCAGCGTTTTCGCTTGCGATCACGAGTACTGCACGAGCTGGCGCAGGCATGAGGGCACGGTGTGCCTGGAGCGTAGATGCACGGTCTGAGGCAAATAGCCCCTACCCGCTGTGCCGAATGGAAATGGAACTGAAAAATGGGAGAAACGCACCTGGGGGTTCTGCTGTGGCTGACTCATATCCCCTCCTGCGCCTGGTTGGCGATTATACTGCAGTTGTTGCATTTGCTGCCACATCCGCCCAGTGTCTGCAAAGGACTGATGGGGGTCCTGTGGTTGCTGTCCCTGCTGCTGCTGCTGGTTGAGCTGTTGTTGTTGCTGCTGCTGCTGCTGTTGTTGCTGCTGAAGGAGCGCGGGATTGAAATTGGGCATCATGGGGTATTGGGGTAGGCGATCTGCCATTTATCCTGGGGCAACTTGTGCGCCCTAGTGGACACGAGGTCGCAAAAGGCGGTTGGGACTGCTCTAGGGTTGTCCGTACGGTATACGAATTGTTGAGAGGAGGGACAAGGAATCTGAGCAGAAAGCCCTAGTGGTGGGAGCGAAACGAGGAGTCGCACTTGGGCTGTGGCTGACAAGAATTCATGTTTGCGACAGTTGACAAGTCTTTTGTTACAATTATTTTTCTCTTGCTAACTCACATTACTTCGTCTGCTAACTCAGTATAACTCCTATTAACACCTTCTCGCCTTTACTCCCATGATCGCCCCATCTGACCTCTAGAATTCTATATCCCCATTGCCGGCCCAACTTCGGAACCTCTTCTTTCCTTAAAATCTCTTTATACGTGGCCACAGTGGGGGCGGACACCTCCAAATAATGCCTTCATTACCACACACGGTCCCCGCCGCTCTGGGACCTGACGCCACTCAGCTGCTGCCGTATATATACCTTGTATTTCGAAACGCGTAGCAATTTATCACCGACCAAAACGGGTCATTCCGAGTCAAGTCTCTGGACAAAGCAAAATGTTGGCAGCTAGTATCAAAACAAGCCCTCGGGCCTTGACCTTTGCCCCGCCGTGATCATGTCCCTCCCGCGGTGGTCGTCCCCAGAGCCTCAGGCGCCCAACGCTGCAACTTGCTCTTTATTAATTCAATGTTTTCGCCCAAGCTTCCCTCTGAATCAACCCTTGCCTACCAGCACCCTGATCTGGATCGTCAGCCACCCAACCGTCATATATGTTTATGGTAACATCTCATTTCGTATGAAACATGTCAACCCCGACGCCCCTCGGCCCATCAGTATGCTCGGGATCCAGCGTAAGGTGTGCACGTCCCTCGCCATATGCTGGAGGGATCTACTTCTTACATTCTTACAGCATCCCAAATAAAAAACTAATTAGTTTTCGCACCTAACCCTCCCCAGTGACACACACCACACACCATTTCACACTTCACACATCGTTTCGGGAGATATGACGGACTTGTCGTAAAATGCCTGGATGGATCAGGATGCCTGCCGCGGACCTCGGCGAGTTGCGGTGCACCTCAGAACCCGTGGACCAAACCCAGATACGTCCACATTGACGGTATCCCTCGGGCCCACCCCGCCTCCGATGGTGCGTGATGTACAAGAATGGTCTCGTACCATCGCGAATCGTGCGGTGCAGAGTACGCTCCCCCTTCGAGTTGCGATCTACGCGAGGATTGCCACGCCGCGCATCCTGAGCGCGTCCAGGATTTCCTCGGCCCCCAACCCACTCAAAAACTCGGATTTCAAACTGGACCTCGGACGCGACCATTCCCTCCGGTTACCTCACGACCGTTCCCTCTAGCAATGAATAGTAATTTGGAATTGAGCGGCGTCAACCCTCGGATACGTCCCCCGGCCGCGTCCGCCCACGAACCCCCGGCTCACGCCACCGGTCCGAGTGTGCGGGTTGTCTGTATTTGGGCGTGGAATGCATCAATTTTTAATGCACATTATGCGAGCTAGCTAAGTCCCCCTAAAAATTATCCTGCAGTGATTATGATTATGGTTGTGATCCAGTTAGGTATGGGCGCGGATCACGCTTGATTGAGCTTCGCGTCATATTTTCTGTACTTATGAGGGCGCGTTGGAACTGTAGGCGCAGAATCGGGGACTGGGAGAATGGGCACCCCACCACAGAGGCTTCGCGTTCTGGGCAGGTGTCGGCTGATTGTGGTCCAAGTTAAACGGACAGGCAGCAGACAGCGATTATTGGTGCACGCCACGTCCCCTTTGAGGCTCGAGGGTTCCTGCATCGGCATACATCTGGTTTTGTTTCTGCTTCTCTTGTTTCTTTCGTATTTTTTGTTTTGTTTTTGTGTACAAGATCGATCTTGTTTTAGTTTGTGTTGAGGTCGCGACTCGCGTCCTTGTTATCTAGGCGAGCCAAAAGAGGCTAGGATCCCTACACATGCGGCGCCTCGGTTCCTGGCGCCGGTGTCAGTGTCCGCCCCGCTCCGTGCATTCAGGGTCCGTGTCCTGGTGGCTCAGATGACGCCTGTCAGGGACTGCGGTGGTTGAGTCAAGTGGCATCCATTTGAACAAATACATGTGCGAAGGATGTACTGACCAGCAACTTTGAACTCAACACGTAGTCTCTCAGAAGTGCGTGTGGAGACGAAGAAAAAATATAACCCTACGGAAATCAGGGATATGGGGGCACCGCGGATTGAACGCGGGACCTTCAGAAGGCGACTATCCACGTTACTTCAGTCTGCTGCTCTCCCAACTGAGCTATGCCCCCAATAAAAGGTTGTTGGATATACAAAGTAGCTGCGCAACAGTCAAGCTGAAGTCGGTTGTCGAGAGATTTACATCATTCGGAACCTTCCATGATAGACGAGCACTGGGACGAGGACATCCACAACCACCGTGATGCCACCCGTCCCACGTCGACGTCCGGACGCACCCATGTATCTGGCTAATTTACTCGCTCATCACGCCACATACCATATTCTGAGTTATTGCAGTACAACACATACTGTCCTCAAAGCATCGTCCGCCCAAACACTATTACAGTCGCACATCTTCAAGTCCCCTCCCTATAAGCGCAATATCCCCAGATCCCCCAATTCGGACACGCTGGTCCATATAAGTACCTATCCGGACAGCGCTAGCCGCCCTCCCCCCGCGCGCTGTCCACGAGCCCAAACCACTCGGATTCCGTCCTTCGCGTGCACATGGGCACCCGGTCCGGCGGTGCGCGCGTGGATTTTCGTTTAGGTTATGCTTTGGGTTATGCTTCCTACTTTTGCTTGCATGGCATGATGGTGCTGCTAAGTGCCAATGCATGATTCTGATCCAGTTTAAGGATGAAGTGACGTTGCTCAGTGCGGGCGCGGATCACGCGCTGCGTACAGGGTTCGCGCCGTGTTATACTGTATTTCCCTCCTATCTGGAGGTGGCGGCGTTTTTCTCTCCTCATGATTGCCTGCTTTTACGACCCTGCCACTCAGACTAGGGTGGTCTCGATTCTGATACTTAGCACTCTCGAGCTCCAAGGCACCTCATCTCCGGCCCCACACACAGACATGTCCCGGACACGACAGGCGCACGTCACGCCAGCCCCGCAGGACCTGGGACCCCCTTGTCTACAACGTATCCCGGTAACTTAAAGATCTCCTGCTGCGCTCCGTACGGGGTACGGTCTTATTTTGGTCCTAGTATACCAAATTTAACCACCTTCGACGCCTCGAGTTCCAAGTACTTGCCCCGCTGAATCGACCTCCGATCTCCTGTCATCTCGGACCCCGGTCGATGTCTAATTTGTCACTGGAAAGCCCCAATCGTCGGAGGTTCTAAGCACGAGTATTCACAGAGGAGATTGGTGTGGAAGGAGAGCGCACCGGACCTGATAACCGATCGGAGGAGCAGGGTTTCCGACGCATCATGCAGGGCATGACATGCAGGAGTTGGGTATACGTACAGGTACAGTACAGTATCTGATAGATAGCCAATGATCGCTGGAACCCTGGAACGTTCCACCATTTTCATTTTCCGGCACAGATAGTGCTAGTCCAATTCTTATGAACCTGGAAACCTGAGGCTCAGATAGCGAATCCTGCTGTGTGTTTGGTCCATACGACTTTTAATTCTATTAACCAATGGGTGATGGAACGTTCCCCACTCTCAGGGCATGTACATAACAACATCCCAGCATCGAAGTCTGCATACGGCTTAGCAGAGGGCCCAGTTTGTATTTGCTCATCATATAATTTTAGAGCAAGCCTAAATGACCTGCGGCGTCAACGATAATTTTAGAACAGGTCGGCGTTTATATATGCATGGTGTAAGTAAGTAATAGTGCAATAAAAAAAGTCGTAAAATCATAGCTGGGGGTGACCACTTAAAGCTAGGCAAATCCAAAGGCACGTTTGCGGGGGTGGGTAAGGGTGTGCAAAAGGGGTTGAGATTGTTGGGTGATAGAAATAAGTTAAAGGGGGTGGTGGGGTGAAACATCCTTTTGCGACGAAGGCGGAGAAAGTATTAGTGATTCTCGCAGGCATTGGTAGGGGTACCCGAAGAACCAGACATAAAACATGAAAGAAGGAAGGGGGAAGGAAGGGGAAGGGGGAGGGAGGGAAGATATTACAGGTCGTTACAGGACGGATAGCGGGTTGGGTTTCAGGGATGCAGAACGAACGAAACAAAGTTGATAGATAGATGGATTTCGTGTGGGCATGAGATGCGGTGGCAGTGGCAGTTGTGATGGTGTATGAACAGTGTAGAATGCAGTGCAGTTGATACAAGCGGGGACGAACGGATACGGACAGACAGACAAAAGCGGGAAAGGGAAAGACAGACAGCTCTGAGTTATGAGCGGGTACTGGAGCTGGCGGTGGCATTCGCGTTGAGGGTTGTGATGTTCTCCTCGTCGCTCTCGCTGCCGTCTTTAGGCCCAGGAATGGGCGGGCCCGCTTCCAGTATGACGTCCCCGTCTGAATCGTCCCCGTCGTATTCGTCTTCTTGGGCGGGTACGAGCACATGCGCGCCGTTGATCTTCTTCACGACGGGCGGAGGCCCAATCGCCAGCACCGTATCGTCGTCCTCCTCGTCGCCAAGGTGTATCGCGCCCCCGCCTTCTGCCACCTCTACTTCTGTCTCCTCCCCAACGCTATCCACCTCCTTGCGGAACCAGTATCGCAGTCCCACGGGTATGAGCACTCCAACCACCACCGCTGCGAGCCCAAAAAAGTTCTTCCAACTAATCAAATGGAAATCATCCGCGCTCGTCATATCATCAAGCCCTCCCCCAATCGTCGTATGTATCACCGTAACACCCAGAATCCCCAGCGCCGTGCTGACCCAAAACGGCACGATCCCGATCCCGACGTGCGGGCAGACGATGTTGACGACCCAGTGCGGGGGTAAGGGAGCGATTCGAAGGACGATGAGGAAAGAGATCATGTTATCTTTGTTTGCGTGGATCTTGGAGGCCCAGCGGTCGAGGAGGGCTTTCCATTTTGGGAGGGTTAGGAGGGCGGGGCCGAGCGCGGCGGAGATGAGGTAGCAGAGGGTTGCGCCGGTGGCGACGCAGCAGCAGGCGAGGGGGAGGGCGCGGGCGACGCCCCATACGGCACCGCCGAGGATGGAGAGGTACATTGAGCCGGGAAGTGAGAATGCTTGGAGACTGGGAGGGGGTCAGTAGGGAATTGTTGCAGAGGTGGGTTGGGACGACGTACAAGAGGTAGGTTATAACATAGCAGATGACGATGCGGTAGGGGTAGATGTCGCGGTACTTTTTGAGCAGCCCATTCAAATCTTGAAGCTGCGCAAAAGACTTGGGTATCCGGAGCAATGGCCGGTCGGCTCTACATGGAGCGTTAGTGGGTTAACCGTTGAAATGAAGAGAGGATACTTGCTCTTCTAAAGTTGGCAACGCAAGCCACAGCGCAGCACCCAGAAACAAACTTGAGACTAGAAATATCGCAGCCATCTTGAGCGTCGCATTGAGTATGATACGTCTCTGGTTTGGACGGCCAGGGGAGTGGGGGTAATTGGCGGTCCCATAGGAGGGCGTCACCGGTGTTAGGAGCGGTGACCTATCGTCAAAGTCGGCAGAGTGTACAGTGGCCAGTGTGTATGTTGAATGGTTGTTGTGCTGCGGTTCTACGAACGCGAGAGGCGGAGGCGGCATGTCGAGAGATTAGTGATAGTTGGTGATGGTAGTCACTCAATGACAACTGCGCACAAATTAGACCATACAATAAGTCTGACGTCGTCCCACTTTTCTGAGTGATCCACTTTTGGTCATCCACGCTATTCCATCATGTACGGAGTTCCATCTAAGTATACCGTATCAGTACGCTCTACTCTATCTAAGTAATAGTCCTTCCTCTACTCCTGTCCAATGAATCCAAGTCCAACGTCAAACATCATATATACACCGCAAACTCCCCAATAACAGGCCTATGATCGCTCCGCCCCTCCAATCTCCTCATACCCTCATCATCCAACGTCCCATACCCAAGACACACCACGTCACCCTTCCTCGGTGGCGGAGGCGGCGGCGGCAGGGCAGGCGGGGGTGCCTCGAGCTCGATGGAGGCGGAGCTGCTGTGGAAAAAGGAGGGGAAGAACCGCCAGCGGGGTGTGGGGACTGGGACCGTGACCGGGGGTGGTAAATTAAGAGGGGGCAAAACGGGCGGGTTGGGATTGGTCATGCGGCGGTGTTGGTGTTGGGGCTCGTGGGGAGGTACGGGGAGGGGCCCTGGGTGCGTATGGTGCCGTGCGGGGGAGGTGGGGCGTACAGGCGGCGTTGGCGCGTCGGGCCCGGTTTGGCTCGGATGCGTCACTACAGGCTCGCGATCGTGTGCCTCCTCCCCACTCACTCCACTATTACTATTGCTCGCCATGGAATCTCGTCTCCCCCGAGGTCTAAACGCATTGACGAAAAACTGCCCTACCCGAGTGCGCGGGCGCTCCTCGATTTCGGGCTCCGGTTCGGGTTCCGGGTCAGGGATGACGGTGCTCTTCCATAATATGCGATCGCACCAGCTGGGCACGCGTTTCTTGGCGGAGGAGTCGTAGGCGTAGATGCCTGTGGCACCGGAGGTGGAGGAGGGGGAGGGAGGGGTGGGGGTGGAGTTTACTAGGATCAGTGGGGGAACTGGGGTGTGCAGGGTGGGTTTGTCGGGGGAAGGATGGGGTGTGGGGGAGGGGATGGTAGACGCCGGCCGTTCAGGCGTAACCACAGGCGTGAGCATCCCGAGCTTACTCACGTCCAACGCGCTGTGCGCCTTCCCCTTCACCCCCTTCTTCCTCGGCGACGGGCTCGATGAATAGGAAGACTTGGACTTGGACAACAAAGCAAGCCATTTGGCCTTGGCCTTGTGCGCTACGGCGGATACGGATATGCGGCGTGGGGTGGGGGGAAGGAAGGGCTCGTCCTCGTCGTCTTCGGTGCCGGTGGTGCCGCGCGTCCAGAGGGAAGAGGCGAGGGAGGAGGCTTCGTTTGCCTCCCCTTCTGTTTCGTCGCCCTCCTTGTCCCTTTCCTCCTCTGGATCCTCGGTCGTGGCATTGGTGTTTGTAGTTGTGGTGCTGGTGGTGTTCGTGGTAGGGACAGTGGTAGGGACAATGGAAGGAGCGATAGTAGGAGGGACGGTGGGAGCCGAATGTTTATGCCGATGCCGGCGCTTGTGAGCACGCGGGACGTCGTACTTGAATGTGGGCGCGAATGCTATAGGCGCTTCGCGGAATCCACCGAAGGCGTCGGAGGCGAGGAGCTTGGAGAGCTCGTCGAAG